CTGCCTCAGTTGTATCATTTGTATCATTTATAGGTTAATTTAATGGAAAACATTAAGCCAAAAAATTGTTGGTTTTTTCTGAAATTTTCTTTTCCATTGTGTGATGGTTTGTAACCATTACTTTAACCATACCATAAGTAAATTTTAGCAGTCATGCGAATACAGGTTCCTTAATAGTAATTTCGCATGGTAATCTTGCTTCTATGGTGACTTCTTGGCAAAATTTGCTTATCCAATAAATCAGCAATGGCAAACTTTTAAAGAAAAATTCTGCTAGTTTCAGCTAAAATTTCATCCTCAGTTTTCATTCTCGTTTTGTATCCTTATATGACTATCTTGTGAAGGAGTTATCAAAAAGCCTCCTTAGTAGTGGAGCTAAATAAATGGGAAATGGTAGTTTTATTAGAAGCGTATATTAGAAATTTTTTGTTCAATAATTGTCTGCCTCGTATTTTCTCAATTTTTCTTTTTACTTCCATTTTATACTTTAACATAACATAAATATAAAAGTTATATTCATACAGTTTCTTCTTCCACTACTGATGATGTCTTTTAATTTTTATTTGGCAATGGAAATACATGTGCTTCACTATCCAGTATTACCCGTACACTCTTAACGACAAGTTTACACTTCCCGAGAATAGAATGCTCATTTGCTTATTAACAGAAAATTACGATAATAATAATTATCTTAAAATTTAAAATTACTAGTGAGAAAAGCAATTATATGAACACAACATTTATAAAAATCAACGAAAACCTTCTTTAAAATGCATGAAATAATTTAAAGAAAAATTACGATAATACTCAGAAATTCAATAAATATATGAATAGACGATATGTTCTTATTGAAGACAAAAAATTTTATTCTAAATTATTAAAAGTTTTCCAGAAATTTAATTTCATGTGATTTTGATCATGATTATTACAATGCATGCAAAATTTTCGTTAATATTCAACATATTTTCTTAAGGGATAATTAAATGGAATTGGTATAGATAATTAGTTAAGAAGTGATAACCAATTATAAACATAAAAATCAGTTCTTTATAATTTCAGATAGTGATTGAGCTATAAATATTCTCAAGTTGAGATATTCTGCCACAACTTATAAACGATCAGCGCATTTCTTCATGATTTGCATTAAATAATTATGCATGCATCCACTGCAATATCGACCGAATTTCATTCCTACTTTTGTCATTTTCAAGTCATAATAGCTAAAGAAATAAATTCCCCAGAAGATTGCTCAAACTTCATGAGAATGTTTAAATCTTAATAATTAATTGAATTTTGTTATAGAAATTATTATTGACGATTCTAAGCAGAATAACTCGAAAATGTAGTTAAAATTAGTTAACCAGTTAAAATAAAATTAGTAATAAGTTTTTTGAAATAAGTTTTGAATAGCTAAAAAAATAATGAGAAAATATTTTTAGTAATTCAGCATCGACGGTTTTATCATGACTATATTACTTTTTCCAAAGAACATTTACCATTTCTGGTTAGGTTCCTCTATCGGTGCAAGACAAATTTTGCCAGGAAGTCATTTGACGGCAAAAATGAAGACGAGTCACTAAGACCACGAGTTTTTTAGTAATTTACGGTTTTGCAAAATCTACAATCTTTGCACTACAATTTTTTAAAATATTTATAAATACTAATACTAATTAATACCAATTTCAATAAAATTGAATTGTTTAGTGTTCTTCTATCAGTATTCATAATTTCCAGTTTGGCTTTACTAATGGAGTGAAGAGTCTAGGTAAATAAGTGTAGATCGTTTTGTAATAGAACTAAGGTTAAAGATATACATAGGATTTCAACAAGTACTTCAATTTCATTGTATGCTTGTCCAATGGTATGAATCAGACATATCGCCCTCATTGAAGTTTTAAGCAAATGATAAAGGTATGATAAAGGTTGTAACTTATATCACATATATGCGGTTTGATAATTTAATAATCCATTATCAGTTGGACTGTAAGCCATAAAATTATTGACTTTGCATAGCTTATTTTAATCTATTTTCATATTATTTTAATTTTTTTTAATTTACATGCAATCGTATTAAAAAAACTGGCCCGTACCTTTATCACAATCTTTATCGCCGCTTTTTATCACTTGGTATAGTTTGGCAAAGTATTAAGATAAGATATAACTAATCATTTGATCCATCTGAAAACAATTTTCCCTATAATATTCGTTATAATAATAATTCAAGAAATAATTTTTTTCGAGAATTTTCAATGATTTTGCAGGATCGATGAAGTCAATAGGATAATCGTGAGGTGAATTACACCACTCCGCCCTTTTTACATTATCGTATGACAAGCCTTTGTGGTCTAAGAAAAATTTATTGCGGTAACTTATTATAAGAAGCGCTATGTTACCCAAGTTTTAATCAATTATGAATTGCTCTTTTTATGAAAAAACGCTAAATTCTAGCGAAAAACTTCAGCAGAATAACGGTGAGATTGGGCAAATTAATGATGAGGTAATCTATTCTAATTATTTCTATTCAAAATTCTGCTGAGTGGAGCACTAAGGATGTAAAACCTTCTGGCTTATTAGCTTATTATGTGGAACGAATTTCTCACTGCCTGATTCCGATTGTCATTTGTGAATGATCCTTTCTTTGGCCAATTCTTCGGTTCGAGGAAGTGATTTCGAAAAACCTATTTTTCCAAAATTATTACTTTTCGGCTTTATTATTTTCAATAAAATTGAACGCCATCTCTTGAGAGCAGAATCTGCCATTTAAATGATGTTCAGAAAGTTTTGGAGAGCCACTATATTTCCGTTATCAAATGGTATCCTAGCGAAGGAATCTCGCCTTAGTAGTTGCAAACTGGAAATGGAGTGGGGCTTAAGAAAGAAAGAAATTTCATATCTACATGAAAAGGTTTTGAGAGAAGTGATTCAGATAAATTTATATCAACTGATCTTAATTAACAATACCAAAATCCCAAATTAGGCAAACGATACTTTAAATAGGGTAGACAAAATCTGTTCAGAGTTGCCAAGCACTGACCTATAATAATTTATGCTTGAGATATTTTCTAGAAAGATGTGGTTTAAGTTAAAAACGAGGTTTGGCCATAAATTTCGCCTAACACGTGGTGAACAAATATTTCTTTATTGTAAAAATTTTCATTGGTAGTCAAAATGCTAAAAAATCCATTCGAAATTAATTTTTAGATTTTTTGCAAGAGCGGAACGCACGCCATTTCTGGTTAGGTTGGTGCCATTAGGCGCTAGAAATATTACTGGAATTTTTTAAAAGGCTTATTTCAGCGGAGACTAAGACTCTCACATCGGTGCTCCAAAAATAAGTACAATAGCCCATTGCGCCATTCCATTAAATCCATCTTTTATGATGAAGTAATTTTTTCAGACATGTTGTTCTTGTTGTGGTACACCAATTTTCGATCAATTTATGCTAAAAGTTTGTTGCATTATAAATTATGCTTCACAAATCATCTTTTTCTTCTAATAGCTCTCACCATCACTGATTAGGCTAACTATTCTGTACTATATATTCTGCTAACTACAATCATAAGGCTTCTCCAGGTTCGATCCAATGCCATCGTTGACAGAAGCTATTCCTTTTTCCATCGCCTAAGTCCATATATCACTGGTCCATCTATATGTTTAGAATTTTTCCTGACTATATCACACCAGGTCCTGAAATATATTAGACATGAGTGGTCAAAATAGATAGCTTCTTAATGTCCTCCACTCCTATGTCTCGCAGCTACATAGCAAGGTCGAGCGAGCTGAAGCTATATGGACGTGGACTTTCGTTTTTATAGTGTACGACTCCATAGAGATTTCATCAACCGGAAGGATGCATCTCTGGCGACGATCATTCGGATTATAATTTGGTCTTTTGCCTGAACATTTGTAAGAGAAGATCGAAGGTATTTAAAATCAGACACTTTCTCTGACAAATATGCACAGAAAATAAATAAACTTCCAATTTCACCAGAATTTTTATGGAACTGCAATTAAATTTTTTTTTTGTTTACAAATGACCTGAATAGCATTTTCTTCCATTCTTCTCCTTCTAATAAAATTTTAATTCCTCATATAACAAAAAACGGACTTCAGGTTATGTTAGCTTCATTGAATATTAGGAGGCTTCCAGATCTTGCCAAAAAACTAGTTATTTCTATAGGCACAGATAGGTACCAATAGAAGGCACTAGAAATGGTCCATTTCAATTGTTGTGACTCTTCGCACAAAATTAATGGTCACATAAATGAATAAATAATCATGATGAATGATACCAGTGATTATCATATCTTTTACTATTCAATGAGCAACACTTAAGATAATTCTTGATTATTTGCAAAGTTCTTGTCTCTCGTGATATTGTAAAAATTTGAAAATTTTCGAATACTTATTTTTGAAGGATAATTGCAAAAGATAATCATATATTTTAAGATATACTTTTTAAAACATATATAAATTTTTTCACTTTTTGACTTAAGATTTTTTTATAAAACTTATCGATTTTAGTCATAAATTTTTCCATTAAAATTCTATAAATATTCATCATTTACTTTAATAAAATAAAATTAATTAAATTAATAATATCAATGGAGCTTCATTAATCAATTTAAAGATATCTGATAAGATATATCATGAAATCTGTCTTCGTTGTTGCATGTGCGGTATTTTTCTACGCGAAAGATGTTTCGAAAAAGATGGTCAATTTTATTGCAGAACACATTATTACAAGTGAATTCCTTTTCGCTTTGCAATGTACTTAATGAATTAAATCTCGGCAAAGTTTTTTCGCCTAGGCTTTTCATCATTGTTTAAGGATTTTTTAAATAAGGGATATCATATGTCAAAGCAAATATTTCAATTAGCGTAATTTATTGCCCAGTAACATAGTTTTGTAAGTAATCCCTCGATGCATCAATTTTACCATTTTTCATAGGCTTCTTTTAGAACTATCGATATGCTTAAAATATGGAAATACTAGTTTAATGTGGGAAAAGCCTGAGAAGGTGAGAGGACAAAGGTTTATTTATATTTTTTTAAGAGATAAATTTTGGATTAACTGAAAATCTTAGCGATGAAAATAATTTCAGTAATTTGAGGTTGTTTCACACTTATCCTTGCAATAAATAATAAATTCAGAGAATGCAGCCCATTCAAATGCGTCGGCTGTAAGAAAGGAATATCACCAACCGATATGGTATATAAATTCAAGGTAATCATAAAATACTATTTTCAAGATTTGTGTTCTTTTAATATTGCAATGGTTTATCCAGAAGATTAATCAGAGAAAGCGATACAAGCAGGTCTTTCACAATTTGTATTTCATTTTTAATTCTCCTGTCAAAAGGCAAGGCATATTGCCTGCCAGCAATACAGCAATATATGGCTCACCCAGCGTGCCACGAAGGCAGCATAATTTAGATAAGAACAATGTCCAATCGAGCAATTTCTATGCCAAATGCCAAATATGAAACAGGTTCGAATTTGAAGCACCATGTTAATTTTAGTCAGATATTTTTTATCATGTTAATTGTCATCGATGTTATCAGTGTGAGAAAGTCTTATCACCTGGCGAACAAATTTTAGTGGATGAAACAAGTAAGACAGTCGCTTGTCTTGTGCATAATACATCAACAAAAAGTATGCTTTTGATGTAAACTTTTACAAATAGATATCTTTATTTTTATATTTTTTATGTAATATAGGAAGCAATTTTCGTTATTAATTTCGTTATTAATTTTCACGCATTAACACTATAAATTTTAAGATAATAACCAAGTAGAACAGTTTTTTCGCAAAAAACAGTAAAAAATTATAGAATAGAATATGCAAATGGCTTGTTGCCCTCATCTCGAAATGCCGATGCTGTGGTTTCCAGAAGAACTCCGCAGCAAAATTTGCCTGGTTCAACAAGCCAATGGAGCCAGCCTAACCAGAAATGGTGAGAAATGGTCAGAAATGGTGAAAAAATAACTCAATTTTAATTAACTGATAATATAATTAGTCATTTTATTGTTCTATAATTGGTTTGAGAATTGTTTTAAGAGCGCTACCATTTCTGACTACGCTCGTTCCGCTAGCTCGATGGGCCAGGTAAAATTTTCGCTTGGAAGTCATGTGGCGATAGCAGTATAGATAGGCTTAGGCTGCCGGCACCACCAGAATTTTTGAAAACCCAAAAACAACTTAATTTCTGCAAGGAGTAGAGTACGATTGAATAAAATTTTTGCTTCATTTAAGAGCAAGATAAGCGTGCAAATATTTTTTTCAAAAATATAAATACAAAAGTATCAAAAAACTAAAAATGAAATCGGTTGAACGTCGGTTTAAAAGACACCACTCACATATTTTCGTTGTTCCCTAGCATTTATGATTCTTGGCATTCGTTTGAAGTTTTCCTCGACATGATTATGCTTAGACACCCAACATAACTAACTTCGTTGTGAGTCTTCCAACTCCCTTATCATCTTTCCTTTATATTTATTATCTTACGGATATACGGACATAAGAGCTATATTAATTTACATAAAATTGCAATTGACAAGATGCTAATCGTAAAACTATGTAAAAAAATTCTCTGCTTGCTCTTTCTCCAGTGTCTGCCATTGCTTCAAAGCTTCGTTCAGCACCATGTTTGGCGCCATCTTGCTGATACATTCCTAATGCTTCAGGTTTAGTTCAAGACATTAAGCTCCACACAACTTCTTTCGAGCTGATAATTAGAGATCTTTAGGTTAGACATGGGGTGGAAATTTCTGTACCCTATAAAGACTTTCCAGGTTTTGTGCGCTGGCAGTCTCCATGCTTTCCTTTGTCCATTTGACTATACCGGCTACATAGCTGATGACTGGAAGAGCGTGCATATTTATAATATAGATTTCCATTTTTTCCATTTTCCATTGAGCTGGTTATTTTCCAGGTTTTTTTAAATATCAAGATGCTGTGAAAGGCCAATTAACACGTTATAAAAGTCGTCCCTCTGGCATGTCACAGTGGATAAATATACCAGGGATCTCCTTGGCGATAGGGACAGGTTTATTCCTGCGGAGAAGAGTATCTCAGCATCGGCACTCCAAATTGAGCAACAACCCACTGAGCCATTCTATCCCCAGTAAGATGAAGGTATGAGCTATTAATTTTCCAAAGATTTAAGCAACAATCGATGCATCATCTGTGTGCCAGAATTTTGCCTATCCGAATGGGAAAGAAATTTTTTCGAATACTTTTGATTCAACCATTGCCCGGTTGGTTAATCTTAAGAACTTTTGATATTATCACATTATTTTTTAATTACACAAATTTTGTATGGTTTTTAATTCTTAATCTAATTAATTTACTTAATTCTTAAATGGCTTCAATTTATAGAGAACTTGATTCTCCTTTGTCATTAAGCCAGTTTTCTTTGGATAGCTATGGATATGATTATGCCGATGGGAAATACTTGAAACGACGTGGTCCGAGGACAACTATTAAACAAAGTCAGGTAGTTAAGTTAATACGCTGATTATTTCCAATTTCATTTACATCTTGTTTCTGCTAATCTACTAGTTATATAATCTGAGTCCAAATTCATTATTTTAATCTCTGAGATTTCTAAAAATGCTAACCACTTCTGGTTATACCTGCTGCACTGGCTTCTCGGGTTAGAAAAATTCCGCCAAAGAATTTTTTGGCGATATAGCGGTACAAGTGATTCTAGCATCATCTGCATTCCTGAAAGACTGCTAGGAGCAGAACCACAGTATTGGCACCCAGAGATGATAGCTACAACCCACTATGCCATTTAGCTCCTAAAAGCATTAAACTATTATTTTTTCCAATACAATATGATTATTTTCTGAACTTCTTTGGTCCATCCAGTGCATTTTGCACAGCTATTTTTATCAGTTACAGCTCGATATACTCAATCAAATCTTTATGTCAACGCCAAAACCCTCGAAGCACGCTCGAGCAAAGCTTGCACTTGAAACGGGACTTAGTATGCGAGTCATACAGGTTTTTGTAATTCATGACTTGCACAAAAACTTTTGTGAAAATTTATAATCCTATATTAAAATTTTCTGAAGAGATTTATTGTAGGTTTGGTTTCAAAATCGTCGCAGCAAAGAACGACGTCTCAAACATCTTTGCAACTATTTGCGGCATTATGAGCAGCGTGGCCTTATACCGCCACCATTTAGTTTAGACCAAAATGGTGAATATCAATACAATTTTTTTATCATTTATCACATTTTTTATCTAAATTTTGGGAATTTAGAAGATTCCAGTATTTTCAGTGTCAAGATTTTTTAACAGTAGTGTATCATCGACGACGAGCATTACTATCAAACAACTACTCGCATTCCCCTTTGATGAAACTAATGATGGAGATGAAGAAGATGGTGATTATATTATGTAAAAACTATTAAACTTGGATAATAAATAAATTATGTTAAAACTATAAACTATTCCAATGTATACTGTCTAAATTACTATTTTACGACGTTATCGTTAAATGTCATGCCTTTTCCTGTTCTGATAACATTCGTTATTATTAATTTGGTTAAATTTAGTGCGTGAAGAATTTCGCTATCAGTGTTGAATTATAACTGCAAAAAAATTCCTCTTTTATTCATTTTTGCAAAACTTATGAAAAACTTAAATTTGAAAGTTAAAATTTTGTTGTTTTCGCAGCCATAGTGCAATAATTCACTTGGCAACAAAAGTCGCTTGATCGCTAGATCCTGTTTTTTGAAAGACAGCTTGAAAGATAGCTTTGTTCCTACTAGGAATACAAACCAAACATCAGCGTTTCGAAATGAATGCAAAAACACTAAAGCGTTTAACCCACATATCTATCGCAATCTACAGAAATTTCTAGGAAATATAAGTTTTAGAATTCTCCTAGAATAAAATATGCAAAATAAGGACCGTTATATTGTCTTTATTTTTTACATTTAGCAACTTTGAATTATTTCAAAAAATTTTCGATGAAGATCGGTCGGAAACTTAAAATCATCAATATTTATTATATGTTCTATCGAGCTGCTTAATTTTAATTTCCTTTTATGAATTCTTCTTCTTCATCTAATAGCTCTCACCATTACTGGTTTAGACGGCTCCAATGGCTACAAGAGTAATAAGATTCCAAGCGACGCGGTCTGATGCCATCGCTACTAGTAAAATAGAAGCCATTCCTTTTTCCATCGTCTTTTTTTAATTTTATGAATTATAGTTGATTGATTCTATAATTATTATAATTTGAATAAATTTGTTTTTTTGCGAACATAATCGACCAATTTATTTTTTTTTTTGTTTTCTACGAGCTTAAACTACACTACACTTCTAAACACTTCTAAACTTAGGCTTACTCCACTAGTTTGCACAAGTAGACCATATAGAAACACAGGCTGGCCTTCGCAAGCCTGGATTTTCGAAAGATCGATTTACTCTTGGCGTAAAATTCCAGTACCAGCTCTTCGAACCACTGCACTGTTTTGTCCCTAATTTACACTAATAGATAGCACTGTCAAATCCTAAAAAGAATAATAATTCGTAAAGAAATTATTGAAAAAATTTGGCGAAAACCTGCCATTAAACCCATGAACACATGAGGATTGAATCTCTGTGGATTAAAAATTGAAAAATAGCGAACATTAGAAGTTAAGTTTGAATTTATTTTGAGAATAACAATTAATGCATCGCGTTTCGAATTATAAACCAGCTGCTGAAATATTTGGCATTAAGAAAGAGATTTACAGTAAAAATGTCATAGATGGACAGCAAATCCTTGGCGATCAACAAATTTCTGTATTGGCTACAAATCGCAGAATTGATGGTAATCCATAATCCTCCTTATATTTTGTAAAATATTTGCCATAGTCTTCATCTAAACCAAATTTGTTTCGAATTCGAATCGATTATATTTCTTTTTTTTATCATTGGCTTATCATTTATCATTGTCACCAGTTATTTCGATTGAAGATTATTTTGTTACTCTGAAAATTTCATAAAATGCCTTTGTAGCATTAAATACGTCCGTTACTTCCAAAAACGCATCGAAATTAGAAAATTGTCAAAAAGCTTTTAATATACAATCGATGGACAACAAGGTTAATAATTCATGCATTAAGTATATTTAAATTTATATTTTATAAAAAAATTAATAAGGGCGCTAAGCAGGTTTGAAGTAAATTTTGATGTGAATTTTTCAGAATCAGCCAAAAATTTTACCCAAACAACAGCCAATAGCACTTCGCTGGTTTTTATTTAGATGGTTTTTATTGGATGATAACTGTTGTTTTTGTGATCGCCCTTTGAACTCTATGTTTGAAGTAACTCAGTTTGACTTTTTATTATATCTTATTATATTTTGAAAGGAGCCTCTTGAAGTTACCTCTTAGAAATCAGCTTCATTTCATTTTCATTAAAAAACTAAGAAAATCTTCTTGCTTATAAGGTAGATTCCAGGCAATTGTGATATTATGTTGTGGACATTTTCCGCATATGCATTGTTTCGAAGAGATGCAACTAAATAATCGTCCGTGTAATAAATGCCTAGAAAAACAAGATTGGAAAAAGCGTAAAACATGGCCATGTTGCAAATGATAATATCGTTAATATTTTCTTATCACTAAACCAAAACTTAATGCATTTATACATATATGTATATTCATTTATTCTTTTTGTGATTCATATTCTTTTCTATTTTCTGTACAAAGGAAACGAATAAAATACGAAGATTTGAGGTAATTTTTAGAAATAAAATTCAGATTTAGCATACTTTTATTGTATCCATAAATGAGAAATGAGAAAGCTTTTTTCATAATTATTTGTAAATTTATCGAGAAATATTATTTTTTTCGCAAATTCATATAAAAAATAAGAATCTATCAACTTTCTTTTAGCGACTTTTTCTTGTCCCTATTTACTTATCTCTAAGACTTTTTAATTTCAATTTTGAATCTAAATCTAATTTTAGTTATCTGTTAAAATATAATTTGCCCATTATATATTTAATTTAAATATTTTGTTTATACGTTTTATACGTTTTTATACGTTTTCATGATTTTTTAAGTAATTTTTTGAAAATGCATCAATCTTTCAATTATTAAATATTTACAAAACTTAAATATTATTTAAATATTAATATTTGCTCAGAAATTAATTTTTATACAATCAATTTTTGTTTTTCCATACCAACAATTTTGCGATTCCATAATTTTCATTGTTCTTTTCTTTAAATTTTTTTTCAACATACTTTCGATTTTTTCAATAAATTAGTATTAAAATCGTAGAATTTTACAAATAACAAAAATAGTAAACTTGACGATAAACAATAATTCTTGAAATAAGTAATTCTCCAGCTGAAACATTAAAAGTTACGAAAAAATACTTCCACAATGTAATCAAACAGTACCTTAAAAAAATAAATAAAATTTAAAGAAACCAATCATACGAAGTTCTGTAAATTTGTAAAATAGGCTAAACGAGATTTTTAAAAAATCTTTTCGCTTTTTAGATGGCATATGAGGTTTGACTGATAACTGATAAATAAGTGTTTTGCAGTCATTTTACAGCACATATTATACACCAAATAAATTTACACCACAAATTATTTCGTTCATCTTTATTTTCATCTTTAATTGGATTACAATTATTTATTGAGTCACTCAGAAAATTCCCATACGTTTTTTATATAGAGTGAGTTTTTACTTCAACGAACTTACTCGCCACTGTTAAACGAACTCGATTTTGTGTTAGCCGAAATAAAAAATGGTTTACCTCAAGCTTCATCGTTAGATATTTTTTATGATGAGTGGCTTTGGGCCCGTATATTTTTGTTGTTATGCAAAGTTGGTTGGCTCCATGGCCTTGCGCTTCTGATCTCAAAAAAAAAATTTTATTGCTATCAACTATTAGTCCAACGTTCAGCATAACCGATTGAACGACAACTGAGCGATCTTTTTCGAACAAAATCATTTTAAAAATTCAGTATAATACACTTACACTTAATACACTTTTCTAGAAGTGACCACCATTTCTCGTTAAATCACTTGGCTGACTTGATCAAGCAAATTTTTACCAGAGGATCACTTAACAATAAAAATTCATGTGGATCAATACTATCCTTATTTTTGAAAAATACATTTACTTTTGCCAGAAGTAGAACCCAAGAATAGTGCCATGAAATAAATAAATAATCATCAGTCATTCTACATCTAATTACTACTCATCGCTGTTATATTATAAAAATATACATTAAAAATTATAAAAACCCACATCCGTACCTGTTTAAATCTTGATTACTATGTTAATGATTCATTCAATTCCATTGAATTCTACCGATTTCACCATTTAACCAATTTTCGAGGGGTCACTGTCACAATTCAGTTCGCCTAAAAGCGCACATTTCATCTTCGAATTTCATTATTGATTTCATCGTGTTTTAATTTTAACAAATTCAAACAAATCTCGATTCAGTAAGTTTAAATTATTTTATTTGTAGTAAGTAGGGATGATTATTGCGAATTTTCTTCGCTGAATTTTCTTCCCTCCGGTGAGAAATTGAGGTACCAGTAGATCCCAGTAATTTGATTATTTTATATATTTTATATTTCTGTTGCAGATGATATATGTATTATGGATAAATAATATATTATCTATTTTGTACTATTATTTATTCTTTACTGATTTTGTGTATTCTTATGGCTCCATGACATATCAGTGCCCAGATGGATATTTTTTGTCGATGTTCAGCTCGGCGCATGATGGAAGTGAGCGATTTTATAAATTTGGTTGCACAAAATTTTCCGACGTTCATCTAGTAAGTTTTACAAACAAATGTAATCTTATTAAAATCTCTAAAAATCAGTTTCTACCAAATTATAAAAATAATAATTGCTGAGACGTAAATTGTTCCCCATTTTATAAGAGAACCTTTTAAATGAAAAATCCATTTATGAGTAGTTTCACATAACTTATACGTTCTCCTTGAAGGCTATCGATGAAAATTGTAATGTTTCTGAATCTACTTCACCCGAAAATGGTGATCTATATCTTAGTTGCGGCAGTGATCAAGTAAAAGTTTCTCGAACGTTTGTTTGAACTAATCTTTTTCAATATTTTTTCGATATTTGGAACTATCCGATAATAATACTGCCAATTGCTATGGGTTTAGTCGAGTCGAGTAATATAGTGATGCTCCGATTACGATTAAGAACCGTATATACCATATATAACCTATCTTACGGTAGAAATAAGTCTCATTGGAAATAGGTGGTACTACGGAATATGCTTCCATTTCATAATATCATCTGACAATCAAATGGGCCAGTAAAAATAAAAAATAGTTAGAAGACCATTTCGCCTCACTATTATTTAAAATTTAAGCACGTTTCTTTTAAATTTCTTTAACGACCAAGTTCTAGAATAGATTTATTTCACTGGGATATGGCTCAGTTAGTTGTTGCTCCTGTTTCACAGCATCGACATTGAGGTTCAGTTTCTAGCAGGAAACCTGTCTTTCAAAAATTCAGGTGTTGCTAGCAATTTTTCTAGCCGATCAAGCCAACAGAGCGAGCCTAACATCTGAAATAATGATAATCGGTCTCAGAGAGAAATTTTAATACTCCTTTTTAATCTTACTTTGCCTTTGTTGAATATACTTATTAAATTTTGAAAAGCTTATAGGTGCTTTATGCACTCAGAAAACTTTTTTTTCAGTACACAGCTGGTATCGAAATCATTGATAGTTCAAAAGAAAATTCAGGATTATGGCAATTACTTTGTTGTTATAGTGATTTAATAAATATTCGAAAATCTGATTGTATCGATACAAAATTTCTCAATGATTTAAGGCGAGCGTCGAGCTTTTCGTCTGGTACGCAGATTATTCGAAGATGGCAGGCGATGTTAGAAAATGGGTATTAAAAATTTATCAATGAATTTATTTTAAAGATATTTATTTAAAAATTATTCCTGGTGCTGCTGGCCTATACTTCCATTGTCAATCCTCTTTTGCTTGGCAAATGGAAAAGACCTGGCCAAATATTTTTTGTAGAGATCTACGATGGTGGCTTCAAGTATGCCCAGTCGATATAGAAAGAAGTAAAGCCTATCAAGAATCGTCTAATGAAATTCGTGCTCGTCGACAGATTCCTTCAGAATGGTCAAGAGGAAGATTCCCTACAATGGTGTATTTATTTATTTTCTTGCATTTCCCATATTTACAAGTTTAATTACGCTTTGGTTAAACTTTTAGTTAAACTTTAGGAATTGTACCCTTTGTTCATGAAACAAAAATATATCGATAAACACAGACAACTACGATTGTTCGACAGTAATAAGCGAATGCATATATTTTCTGATACTAAAAATAGCACTAGTAAAAAATCAACGAAAAATAATGGTACATCTACTGACGTAAGTTTCTTTCGATAAATGCTTTTCATTAAATTCTCTGAAAATTTATAAGGTTAGAGGTTATATATCAATTAGATTTGCTGCTCTTAAAAATAAAGAAATTTAAGAATGAAAATTTAAGAATTTTCTTCTGACTGCATGCATAATTTCAATATTCCTGTGACTATAAAGGTGGAATATTTTCTCTGCATTTTGATAATAGATAAGATAGAAGAATCCTCAGCAGCAATCTGAACTAGTAGATTGTGAATTTTTCTTTTGTTGATGAAGTTAATTCTAAATTCTAAACATAATTTTGTTAAAGATCAATATCATTCGTTGGTATTTGGTATTTGAGTAAATTCACCTGAAAAATGGCAGTGATTTTCGGGAAATTTTTAGATTTCTACTGTCCCATCGAATCATGGACAACCAAAATTCACTAAAATTTCGACTATAACTGCAAAAGTTAAGAAAGAAGATGGAGCGATCGATTATTACGACGCCTATGATGAAAATTTCGATAGAAAAAAATATGAAGGCCGTGGTGGAATCCTAAGTGGTGTTTCTGATCTTTTACAGAATCTTCAAGTTCGACTTAATATTTCTTGCAGGAGCAAAGCTTTGAACTCTTTATTAGCATATTTTTTACTCTGTTATTATCAATTATCAATTATTATTTTTTTTGGCTGCCCTTTTCTTCCTCTAAAAAATGCCTTTGGCATTTCAAAAACACTATAAAAGTTCTAGAAATTACTTCTTTTTCCAATATCTATGCTCATATTCTGAAGGCAAAATCAATAGAATGAATGAAAATACCTAAAATGATACGGCCTGGCCTGAAACTAATTAAGACATATTTTAAATTTAGAAAAATTTAGATCTTTTGCCTTATAAAATAACTAATAATTTACATAGTGAAATTTTAATTAAATTCAATCTTTATTTAAATTTTAGGATGGTTTGTCTATAGCTCAAGCAGCATTTCCAAAAAAAACAAATTTAAAATTATCGTATCCAACAAGTACTGAGCCAGCTTTTTTGCTTAGTCATGACGAAGACAGCTTAAGCATCAGAATTAACCACGAGGCTGATAAAAATATCAATTCAGTCGTCAATATGCGAAGGTAATTGGTATAAATATGTGTACTAAATTTTAAATATTTACAAATATATATATATACCTGTGCTACTTTCAAAATCGGCATTTTCTTTAAGCTTCCTCGAATGCTATAAGCTCGCTTCCTTCCTTGATGGTGTTCCAAGCTTCAAGCTTCGCGACGCTATCTCAGCAATGATATTAAATTAGCATTAAACCATTATTTACATATAATCCTTTAGACATCTCCGTCCCTGCGCCTCAAAACCAATTATAATCCTTCCCACATTTTCTTTGATCCTCTTTAGCATTCTATTAAACCGCACTGTGCTAATTTTTTCTATAATATTTTCTAATTTAATAACATTTCCTTACATTGATGCTATACTAGTTCAATAAACTCCTCTCTTTAATACTCTAAGATCCTGCCAAATTCTAAATTCTTAAGTCATTTCATGATTTTATACCATTCGCAATTGGAAGTTATAAAATTTCAAAAGTAGAATTACGATGACGATTACCATCGAAGGGCCACAAAGAAGATTTTGAGGGTTTTGAGAGAGAAGAATATAAGAATTCGCATGTAATAGTGAAAAAGGGATGCAGTGAGGAGGAAGCATCAACAGTCTGCAAAGATTCGTCCTAAAGGCAGTCTTTTCAGTCTCCTCGAAGAAAACACACTTATTTCTTCAGAATGTGCTAAATCGATTCGAATCTCCTAGTTATGTCTAGTTATTTCGCTTCAAAAATTTCCTTCTTTCTCCCGGTCCTCCTATGTTCCACAAATTTCTCTGAATAATTTTTATAACACTCGGAAGCCCGATAAATTCTTTTGGGGCTCCATCAAATTCGCTTAGATATTTCACCACATCTTTCAAGTAATATCACCTTAAATATCCTCCTACTATCCTTTTACCCTTCGCTGTCCTTTGGCGAGGTGAGTCTTTGCCAGTTTAATCTTCCCAAATATAGTCGGTCATGTTAACTACTTTCCTTTTGTTCTTTCAATACGCTGGTAGACTCGTTATGCGTTTTTAATGCTTCTTCTGCTGCAAATTGTGGCATGATAAACGGGTGATAGAGAAACAAGTTGGATTAACAATGTTATAATAAGAAACCTGTGTTGGTTTAATGATAATAGTGTGGCAGAAAAAACTGAAGAAAATGAGGAAAAACTGAAGAAATATTTTGAAATAATCAAAGGGTATAGCTTTGTTCCTTATGTTGGAACGCCATGCTTTCCTTCTTTTGCTTTCATTCTCTCTATAGTTCTCCTTTTTTTGATCATAAATATTTTGTTTAACTCTACAAGTTTATTTAGGCTTGGACCTTATCCTGAAAAACCAGAAAAGCCGCAACAAGAGAAGCAGAATTCATTAGCTCCATTAAAAATTGATGCTGGAAGTATACAACAAATGTTACAGTTTCTCGGGCTTTGTAATGGTCATACGTCGTAAACTATGTACTACGAATGATTACTGAACGGTCATATTTCAACATTGGCCTGAATTTTAAATGAAATACAGTGAAATAGGATAGGGTGATTTCGTATAAAGAATTAACATTTAAAAGATATACATGCATAAAAAAGATATATATTATTATTTTATATAATATTAAATATTTTATATAATATTAAATAAAATAATTTAAAATAATTTTTTGAAATAATTTCTATAATATATATATAAATATATATAATTTTACACAATTTATTTATGATTTTAACTTTATGTAATTTATATTTCAAATATATAAATTTTTTAATCCACAAATATTTTTTTCTATCTGTCAAACTACCTGAGAATTATTTTATTTAGTCGTATTTTATTGATATCCGGAAATTGTGAGAATTTTTATTTTAATTCAAAAATCACGCAAGAATTATATAGGCGATAAACGAAACTTTTTTATTTTTTATATATTTATATTATTTATTTATATTATATTTACTATTATTATCGAATATTATTTATGTAACATTTGATTAATTGATAATTCTCTGAATAAAGTGCAATAATTTATCTGAATATATTCAATCGAGTAGATTATGCTAATATTGCATGCATTACAACAAATAAAATGAACACGAATAAAAGGAGTTCATGAAGAATATCCATCACATTTATTATACTATTTAATATAAATAATAATAAATAATAATAATCATAGCAATAATAATAAAATAATAATAATTCTGCTTACGGTTATTTTTTATTTCTTTAAATGTTTTTTTCATTAAACGAATTTTTATAAATTTTTCAACCATTTGTTTGAGATTAATCGTAGTAAAATTTATCATAAATAAATTTTCACTCAAATTTTTTTGTTGATTGATTGATATTTAACATGAGGATGTGCCTCAAGCAATGACTTGTAAGATCATTCAAATCCTTACGTCAAAGTCCTTACGTCACGAGCTAATACTCAACTGATTCGATGAAATATGAGGCTTTTTCTAACTATGAATCGATTCCCACTCATATGATTCTAAGATTTTAAGAATATTAATTTTGAAAATTCACAAAAATAAGTTCGAATAAATGAATTTTTTAATTTTCAAAAGTTTATTTTTAAATTTATAATAAATGAATGCATAAAATATAAATTCTGAAATATTTTATAAATTATAGTTATTTATTAAAATTGATTTAAATTAATTAATCGTGGATATGTAATATGTGAATAAATATTTTAAATATTTTTTATAAATGGATTCAATTAAAATTTTAGTTTTTGCTATTTAATTTGAAATTTTAATCATTATTTATTTAATTATTTTTTAATTATTTCATTGATTATTTAATTGAGAGTCGTGAAATGGGATGATTTTATCAATTTCATAGGCTGAAATACCATCAAATATAATAGGCAATTAAGCTGTACTGATGACATCGCATTTCGGTTTGGTATTATAATTGATAATAATATCAATTTTGATATCTCTACAACAGAAAATTTATGTCTTAGAGCATCAATTAAATTTTAATTAACTCATTTGCATCCTTCAAAAATAATTTTAATTATCCATAACTTTTCTCATTAATTAGGTATAAAAATTTTTCTTCGTTTTTTCTGTTTTCTTTCTTAGATTTGAATAATAAATTTAATTAAACCTTCTAAAAGTATTTTTATATTAGGTAAGTATTTTGGTTTTGTAAGTATTTATACATACATTAGTTCGTATGAATTGAATTCATTAAGGACTAGGATAATTAAAAAAGATCTAATTTGCACTTATGGTAGCTCAGTGGCAAGATAATTGAATCGAGGCTTGGGTTCGAAAGAATCTGGCTGATGTACTATGCTTCATTGGCGGCATTATTGCCCAACAAAGCAAAAGAGAATGGAATAGTTCATCGGATTGTTGCTCAATTCGGGGAATCGATAAAGAGGTTCCACTCAGTGCAGAAGTAAGGAATGCAAAATCCAGGTGATGCTGGCGACTCGCCTATACTTCTATCACCAGGAGGACTCCTTGGTACATCTGTCAAGCGAGTCTAACCAGCAATGGTGAGTTCTTTTTAAAAAAAAATTTTCGCTTATGAGATGTAGTGTTTGGTTTTATTAATTTAAACAAAAATTATACAAAATTTTATGAGCTCTTTTTAATTTTGAATGTATTTTTGAATGATACAAATAGATAAAAGGTAGAACACGATCTGAATCTGAATTTGTGCAGTTAAACTAATAATTCGTTGCAGTACTGGAAAATTAGGTACTGGAAAAAAAATACCTTAAAAATTTGTTAAAGAGATTATTTGTCCGCGATATTGTTCCTAATATACCTAATATACCTAATCCATTTTCACTTTAGTATAGTTTTGCTATAATATAAAAGCTCTATGGTACACCAGTCCGAGTCTGAGCATAGATTCGACTTTTCACCACTAATAGATCATTTAAATGAAAAAGCCAGTCATGGCATAACGGCATGCACTGGTGTCATAATACAACCTAAATTATAAATAACAGAAATCATATTAGGATAAAATCTGTCTTTTAAAAATCTTAGTGTAGCTGGCGACTCATTTGCACTTGCGTCGCTAAGTGATCATCTTGCAAAATTTGCTTGATCCAATAAGCCGGCGAAGCCAACTTTACCAGAAACAGTAAACTTCTTTTAGAAAAAACAAAAATCTATGCCTTAAAAAAAGGAAAATAATTTTCATTCCAATTATTTTATTATTATTATAATCCCAATTTTTTTTCTAAAATTCTAATTTTATGATTTGTAATTTAAAATAAGACTGCTGTTAAAAAATTTTCAAGCTATTATTATTTTAGTAGTAATTGCTGTGAGAAAGTTAAGGAGAACATTTATTGTCTGAAAAAAAAATTTATTCCTGAAAGTCAAACAAACCTTTCGTATTTTTCTTCGAAATATATATATTCATTTATCTTTTGAAATCTTTTTTTCAAATATTGAATAGTAAAAACAACTCAATTAAATAAAAGAAATAATAAAAGAAATTATATATTAGATTTGAATAAATAAAAAACCTTTCTTATTCCATGTGGATGATAAGGCATGATAAGGTACCCTTGGTCTTGGGTCCTCTTCCAGAGACCTGGGACGTTGAGGGACATTCTCTGCATTATCTTACCTGTTCTTAGCAGCGCACTTCTGCACAAAGATCTCCGATCTGTTGAGGTCTAATTTTTCTAGTTTGGAGTCACAGCACCGAGTGCTTCTATTGTCACTGGGACTAATTTGGCCTTCAAATTCCACATCTCTAGTTTCTCTAACTTCTTACATTCCTTCTTTCTGACGTTTGTTGCTTGGCCTTGCTATATCAATCATCAGTGCTAATTTCTATTAGTTCGTCTATTACCAGGATATGTCATTGCTTGGCCAATACTTATTTGTCTGTCTGAATGGAGGAGTTCCTTAGGATTTTCGCATTATATATATATATATATATTTTCTCGTTATCAATTTCTCTCATTGTTTTGCCTAAAATATTCTAAATTTTAAAAGTTTGTAGGAATTTTAAATTTATTTGTTTAATATTTAAATTTATTTAATTTTAAAACTTTTTTAAATGATAAGAAAGCTCGTAAATGGCAAAATGATAATTTCTCTGAGGAATTTTTTAAGATAATTCTTTTAAATTGAAGTTTCTTTTTCATTAAAATTCCATTCTTATAATTTATGATTTCATTTATATAAAAATTCGAAAAATTTGTAAAAACTTATCATTTGTCATAATTGCCAATATATCAAATTCATTTGGTTTATTTGTTGGAATTTTTTTCTAAAAATTTTCCAACTTTTATTTTTTCACGAAAAAAGCAAAAAAATTTTTCGGAAATTGATTTTTTCTTGGATCACCAATCTTTTAATAAAATTTATCAATAATCACCAATCTTTTAATAAAATTTTTTATAAAATAACGGAGGAGAATGGTTCAGACCGTTGGTCTTATTATGGACGCTGATGTTGGATATTCTACTTTCGACTGCACGAGCAAACCTGTCTTACCTCGGTGATGCTGGTGAGTCGTATATGATGTGCATTTCGGTCCCCGAGCCCTGATTCGTCGGCTCGATTTGTCTGGCCCGGTGAGGCACCTCAGCGAGCCTAATCAAAAGCAGTCAAGACTTTCAGAAATCTTTTTAAAATAAATAATATTTTACATTTCAATAATCAATTTAGCGACCGCATTCTTTAGGTATTTCCTACAGAATTTTAGGAATTTTAGGAAATTTTAGGAAATTTTTTCTTCATTGGATCGTTGAATTTTATAAAATATTAGCGGAGATGTCTCTACTGCCACAAATTGAGCGAGCATAATAAACCTTCACCGAATAAATTGCATTCACTGCGTTGTTTAAAGGAACAATTACCGGGCCGCAAAGCACGATGAGCCGCGCTACGCGGCCGTATATCAACGACACTTTTATCAAGGCGGCGCAGAAATTTCTTTCGGCGTCTGTGTTCATCCAAAAACTATTTAAATTCGTTTCTGATCACTGGTTTGCCATTTGTTACAGCTGATAAGTGATAAGCTGGTTGGAGTTCTTTTTCCTTTCGTCTGATTACTGGTGTCATTTTAAGTGGGAACTGATAAGCGATTTGTTCTTTCCCTTTTCATCGTTCATTTTCGTTTTTTTAATGCACAAATTTTTCATTTTCATTTATCGCTTAATTTATGGTTACATTTATTCAGTTCTTTGATCTTTGCATAACTTTTTAACCTTTAAGGAACAGTAAAGTAGTCCTATTCGAAATTTAAATTTAATTTTCATTGTTCATTTGAGTGAATTTTTTTATTCGATCATTTTTTTTTATATTTATTTTCCGTAAGGTGAAAAGGATAAAGGATAGGATGGCTTAGTGGGTTCTTGTTTAACTCGGAGCGCCGGTACCAAGGTTCCCCGCAGGAGTAAACCTGTCCAAAAATCCGCGTGATGCTGGCGATTCACCCGTACTTCTATTGCCAAATGATTCTCTGGCATATTTGTCCAATGCTGCAAGCCAGCGGAGCGAGTTTGACCAGTAATGATGAAAATAAAAACTCTTAAAAAAGAAGGTGAAGAAGAGAGTGAATAATTAATAAATGAGTAAATAGATAAGCAAATAAGTCTCAATGTATTCCTTAGTAAAGAATTTGGCTGGGGCAGTACGCATTGTCTGGCATAGAAACTTAATAATAATCATATAAGAAAGTTTATAATAATATTGGTAATTATAACATAGAGCGCTAAGAGACGATGGTAGTATTTCAAAGGATTTTATGAGGACATAGTAAGTTCAAAAGAAATTATTCGAAGGTTATTGCGAGATTCGAAAGGTATTAGTGGAACTTTGGTGGTGGATGAGCCAATGATCCATTTAATGGTGCTTAGGAAGAATTTTGATGGAATCCCAAGAAAATTTTTGATTGGATTTTTTTAATTAAAATTTTTGCAGCATTTTTTAATTTTTTGCTGATTTTTTTTATTTGTTGTTTTGTAAATTTAGTCAATTTTTTCGTACAATTTTTTATTTTCTAATTGTTTTTTTGCTGAAAAATTAAAATATATTTTTCAAAAACTATAATAGGTAAATTAAAAACAAAGAACCAGTGTTGAGAGGCAGGTAAAGTAAAAAACTGTAAAGTGAATTTGATTATCAAATAACTTGGTTGCTATGTCAACTAATGAATTCGATGAACAATTTACAACAACAACGACAACAAATGAACTGGATTCATTCAAAATACCTTATGAATTATGCGAAAGTAATAAAAAACTCAAACGTGCAAGTTTCAATGGTCAAACATCTGCTGATTTAATTTTGGTATATTTTTTTATTTTTTGTAAATATTATTTTAATTACTGATTTTTCTAGAGAGTATTTCTGGTTAGGCTCGTTGCACTGGCTTTTCGAGCCAGACAAATTTTACTAAGCAGTGACTTATTGATATAGAAATCATAATGAGTCGTCAGCTTCAGACAATTTTTGCAAGGCGGGTTTATTCTTGCCAGGAATGGAATACCAGTATCTGCGCTTGAAATGAGTGCAATTATCTTTCGAACCATTCTATTATAATTTTTTAAAGGAATTGCAACTACATGCTATATTCATTATTTTATATCAAAAGAGAACATCTATAATTATTTCTTACTATAAATATATATATATATATATAGTTAATTAAATAAGGAGTTTATTACTCCTCCAGTAAAATGATGATAGTTGTGAATTTACTTCGGTAGATAATAAATTACATTTCAATCTTAATTCATAAACTATTGTAATTTAAGTTTTTTTGCTGATAAAAAATGCATTATTTTATTTCAGAATGTAAAAATTATTTCACTTGAGGTTTTTTATATAGTTTCTGTTGGAATTATAAAATTAATAGCAGTATCGAGTGATATGAATAATATTCAAGAGGTCGAGTTGCATAATTCATAAGTATTCAAGCAAATGGCTAAAATGACGGGTAGTTTAGCCTATAGAAACTACATATTAATCAGAGTTATGCGGTTTAGGTGATTATTTTGAAGGTTCCAAAAAATATTAGACATATGGAATCTGATGCTTCTTTGGAAGATTCGAACGATTATACGAGTCAGATTGATTCCAATAAAGATTATATACTGACACTGAAGGACCCGGCTATACATGTTAGATATGTTCATCACTTTTTTCTTCCAATAATTCTTCAATTTGTATTTTTATATTACTATTTTAAATTACTTGGGTTAGAATTCCCTAGCTGGTTAGTGGGATTTTGCGAGAGTTGTTTGAAATAGATAAATAATAATAGATAATACAAGTGGTCCATTTTTCTAATTCTTGTAATTCTTGTAATCTAACTCTTTAGTTTGTTTTGTTAGTGGCAACTTTAGAAATGAGCAATTATCAAATCCTTTTATTTGTTAGAAATAAAAGTATTGCACTATTGCAGCATGTGGTTTCGAAAAAATTCTTATCAGAAATAAAATAATTGTTATCAAAAATTTATATGAAAAATTCCTTTAGGATGCTTTATTGCAACGGTTAAACACGTTTCGACGTAATCGTGAACTTTGCGATGTCGTTCTTTTTGTTGATGAGAAGGAAATACTTGCTCATAAGGTCTTTTTTTTTGAAAATTTAATCTTTTCACTTGATAAATAAGCATGCTTAAGAAAATAAATATCAGGTCATCTCAACACATCTCATTAATCCTTTGAATTCTTTGAATAAATTTTTAGATTATCTTAGATCTTAGAAATTATAAATGGTATATCGCTAAGCGATTGCTTTTTTTTGATATACATTTCTTAATAGAATGAGTATGTGGTTTGTAAAATTGAGGATCAAGGATTTCTTAAGCAATAGAGAAATTTTATAAATATAGATCGTGCTGGCAGCGTTATCGCCGGCTTTATTCGATATGTTTATTCGTAACGATTTTGAATCTTCGTCCCATTCGTCAGGTATCTAAGAGCTTTCCTAAAATCTTAAAATTGTCATTAAATTGTCATTTAGGGATGATCATATAGATTGTGAAGTTTAAAAGAATTCGAGATTTACTTCTCATTTTATTTTAAAAGCTAAAGCTACCCAGTAAAATTATAGAATTCCTAAATAGTTTAAAAATGTTACTCATGAATAATAAACACAATGCTTGTGATTTTAATTTATCTTTTTAAAAGTTCGTTGTGATTTAAGATCCATATTTACAGGAACAAGTCCATCGCCAACTTCAGCTGCTCGATTTAAAAATTCGAATAAGCCTTCCGTTATCAATTCGCCACTCACAATTCAACCAATTTCAAATCCTCCTTTTGCCTATTATGAATTTCCCAATGCAGATTTTGAATGTTTTAATGCTATCGTCAATTTTGCATATTCCTCGCAGTAATGGTTTATTTGTTTATAATTTTATTTATAGCGTAAAAACATAAATTTGAGCAATTTTCGTAAATTTTATTTGTTTGAAGTTCATTTGCAATTAATATTCTAGAAATATAATATTTTTTTAGCCTTGAAATCAGCAGCAAGAAAGTAACCGAGATGTATAAGTTGGCTGGTTCATTACAGATGGGACAAATTGCAAAAGCTTGCGCGCATTTTTTGGCTCAAAATTTGAATATATCGAATTGTATCGGTTATTTTTTCATTATATCAAATGAACCAAGAAATATTTTTAGTGCTAAAAAAATTTGTTTACTTTGAAAGAAAATTAAGATTTTATTTAGTCATTTAGTCTTTTAGAAAAAAATTAACATTGTTAAAAATTAGTAATTAGTAAATTAGTATATATTTATTGAAGAAATTATAAAAGTCTTAAACATCATATTTTTTTAGGAATACGTCGTCAAACTAGTTCTAATGATGAATGGCTTGTAAAAAAAGTTGATTCATTCATTGCGAAAAATTTTCAAGAAATTGTTAATAACAGTGTTGAGCTAACTTCATTGACGTGTATCAAGGTTTTTTTTTGGTTTTCTCTTTTTTCATTATCGTTATTCATTTGACGTTTTTAGTTAAATATTGTCATTTTAAGAAAAAAAGTCCTATTTTCTTCCAACAGTATTCACTATTTCTGGCTCAGTTGCTTGACTAACGAGTTATGAGAAGTTGTGAGTTGTAAATTTCCTGATAAGTTTTATTCCTATCAAAAAACAAAATTCGAATCTGCGGTGACTTGATTTTTTTGTTGAAATAACATACCACTCGGCTATCTTGTTTCTAAACTTAATCAATTCAGCTTCAGTTAATCAATTAATAATATGAATAAGAATTTAGTGATAAATTAGTATTTCCAAAATTATTTCAGTTACGTGTGATCTTAAATATTGAAAAGTCGATTCTGATTCGTAATGGCTTTTGTATTGCCAAACGTGCTGTTCAATACTTTCAGTCGTTACCAAAAAGTGATTATCATATCGATAATATTATTGAGCAATTGGCCGAAAAAGTATTTCTTTGTTTTCTCTCATTTTTATCTTGTTTTCCCATACAGATTTTTAATACGAATTTTTGTAGAGTCATCTTTTATACTTAGAAGACAATGATACTTTACAAGATTGTGCTGAAATAGATGGTAATAGTTCAGTGGCTGCTTCAGATATTATTCAAGATTACAAGAGAAGCATTGTCAATCAATCACGTTCTTTAAGCGTTGGGTACTGCAATTTATCTCTAATTTATCTCTAAGAAATAGAGGCAAATTATAGCGAACGAATTTTTGCTTTTTTTCGAATTTCTTTTTTTCTTTTCATTTAATATTTTGTCCTGTGATTTTATTGGTTCATCAGAAGAAATTCATAATATGAAAGGTTTTATAGGGTTACAAAAGACGACTTTTCTTACTTTAAGTTTTTAAGTTTTTAATTTCAGAAATATTTATTAATTATTACTTAATAGTTAGTTTCATAATCTAATTTTCCAGTTTCATTTGGCTATTTCAGAAATATATCATTAAATAACTCGACTGTTCAACATCATATCATTGGCGCTACCCCGGTTAATCTAAATTCTAATAGAAGTTCTACCAATAAATTTTCGTCAACAGAAAGTATCAATTCGTTATCAAGCTGGAAAAGTGAAGCGGATGATGATAATCAGGCAAAACTTATTGCTACTCATCAAACATCTGGTATCTCCACTTATTATTCATTACTTTACATTACTGTTACTATATATATATATATTTTTTGTATATATATATATATATTTGTATGTATATATACATATAAATACACATTTTATACATATACACATTTTATATATATGAAATATTTGATTTTATGAAACTATTTTAGGTGATTTTTGGATTGCACTTGCTGTACTGCATAAACGTCTGGTAACTTTAAGTATTCAAATGACTGAAAGTGAAGATATCCTGAAGCGAAATGAACGATCTGTTGCGGTTGCTACTGAATCGAAATTACCAGCAGATGCTTCAAGACAAAAACAATGCCAAGATCGATCAATAAGATTTTCCAGGTTTTTTATATTTCTAATGATCTATATATTTTATTCCAGATATAATTTTGTTTTTATCTTTAAGTGTTGCATATTTATTTATTTATTGATAACCAGCCAAGCAGATCGACAACGCCATGTGCTTGTATTAATAATAACAGTTAAAATAACAGAAAAAGAAAACACAAAAAAAGAAAAAAAATAAAATAACAATAACAAAATTAAACAATAGAATAACAAAATTAATTATAAAACAATATGACAAAAATTAACAATTTAAAGAGGAAATATAGATCAATATAACATAGTACAATTCGAAGTAACATATATAACCTGAAGATATAATCGAGATTTCTCACTTCCTGCAGTTCTTGCCTGGTGTAAACTCTTCCCTTTTTTTTTTAAATAATATCGTAAATTATATTAGTCTTTTTTTAAAGACAGCTAAGGATGACGCACAAGCTACATCGTTCGATAATTTGTACCAGTAGTTAATAGTACGAATAAAGAAGTCATGAGTCTTTAGTTTAGTGTTGCATATAGGTTTTAGTAATTTTAAGCCATTAGTTCTTGTTGGATTCAAATTTAATTATTTAAAGTTAATATTTAAAGTTATAATATTTCGAGCAATCTAGTTTAACATAACCATACAGAATCATATGTGTAAATTAAATCTTGTTTAATTCTACGAACTTAGAGAGAATCCATGTAGAAGTGTTCTTTTATAATTAAAATAATTTTTATTAGGAGAGAGGCGTCGTAGAAAATATTTTTGGAGTCCTTCAATTATTTTACCTGTTTTGCGATGTCCAGGGGAGTAACATATAGTATTGTAGTCAAGAAGAGGCCGAACGAATGCTTTGTATAATTTGATAAGAAAACTTTCAGTTTTGTTCTTAAACGAACGAAAAATAAAATTTAGTATCCTTGAGGATTTCTTTACTATGGTTCTGCAGTGAAGATCGAAATCGAGATTTTCATTCATGATTATTCCAAGATCGGAGATGTGTGAGACTCCATTGATTAAATTACCATTTATAAAAAGGTTAGGAAGATCGAATCCTTTAGATTTGATGTGAAGAACGCTACATTTTTGAAAGGAAGGAGTAATTTACCTGTCATATAGCCAGTCAGCTATTCTGTTGAGGTCCTCCTACAGTGGAGATAGGCTATCCGCTCTACCATGAAAACAATAAATTTTGCAATCATCAGCATAAAGATAAATAGTAGAATTTATTATCACTGTGGTGATATCATTTATATATAATAGAAATAGCAATGGCGCAATACAACTATCTTGGGCTACGCCTGATTTAACAGATGTCATGTCAGAAAGAGTGTTGTTAACATATACACCCCGGTAACGATCTTTATGTAATCTGACACCCAGTTATAGAGGTCTCCTGTTATGCCATAACTATTAAGAATGACCAATAATTTGCTATGAGAAACAGTATCAAAAGCCTTAGCCAAATCTAGGTACACAACTGATACTATTTTTCCATTGTCAATTGATGCTGACCAATCAGAAAGATTTGCCAATATTTGTGAAGAAGTAGATTTTTCTGTATAAAAGCCATGCTGATAAGATATGAAATTATTGGCATCAAGATAAGTAAGCAATTTGTTGCAAATCAACCTTTCAAGTACCGTGCTACCAACACATGTTAAGCTAATAGGTCTGTAATTAGAAGCGTCATAGGTGCTTCCTTTTTTATGAATGGGAACTATATGGAATAATTTCCAAATTTTAGGATTAAGGCCAGACTTCATAATATCTTTATAAATTAAAAATAAGGGAAGACTCAGAGAGTCTGCCCTTATTTTTATAAATTATTTGTGGAATGTTATCGGGACCAGCTGAAATGGACGGCTTAAGTCTATTTAAGGCATCATAAACATCCAGTAGTGTTATTTCAACCTCGCAGAGAGAAGTGCAACAAATTCGATTTACGTTAAAACAGGAAGTATGAGTATTATCCTCAATAAACATACTAGAAAAATACTGATTAAATACATTTGCAATATCAATATCACATTATCATTATGTTGCAGAATTGTTTACATAGATTTGCAAATTTTCTTTTGATATAGGTCCAGAAAGAATAGTCAGAAATTGTCATATGATCAGAAATTGTTTATAACTTGAAAAATAATTTCTTTGAGGCTAATTTCATCGAATGAACGGACACCTCTACCAATGATGGATGGTGCAAGATGTTCCATCGGAGCAGTATTCACTAACGGCAAAATTATTGTCTGTGGTTAGTCCTGGATATAAAATGGAAGTTCCTTGCTAATTTTAAAGATTTTTAAATTCTTCTCTGCAGGAGGATATAATCGAGGCGAGTGTCTCAAATCTGTTGAAGAATACGACATTATTAGAGGAGAATGGCGCAAACTGCCAGAAATGAATCATGAACGAGGTCGCTTTGATGCATCTATGGCTGGTGGGAAGATATATGCTATTGCGGGTAAGTAAATAAAAGAGCAAACGTACCATTTTTTTTTCAAATTTGCATTTACCGCATCAAATCATTTTCGAATCATTTTTAAGGATGTACTGGTAGCGAAGAATTGAAGTCTGCAGAATGCTTTGATTTCAGAACTCAAAAATGGACTCTCATAGCGCCTTTACACAAAAGAAGAAGCCAAAACGGTAAACAAATAATTTGATAATCGGATTTTGTCAAATTTTCAAATTTCTATTTTGTTTTATTTTCTATTATTCAAGGGTGTGCTTATCTAAATGGTCTGATATATTGCATTGGTGGAATTTCTGAGAATTCAGTATTAAAAGAATGTGAAAGATATGATCCCGAAAAAGATCAGTGGGAAATTATTTCTTCAATGCAAATTTCGCGTTCTCAAGTAAATATTATGTTGATTAATTTTTTTTCTTTTCCATAGGCAAAGTTTTCTTAGTTATTGTGATAGGGTTCACTTCTTTCAGACAATAGTTGACAAATATCACGTTTGTTTAAAATCTCAATTAATATATATTTATTTATTAATTAAATATTTATGTAATCGTGACCTTGGCGATAGTTTCCCAGTGGAGCCTTGATCTATCCAAGCTACTCCAACTGTTGTAGGCTGGATGTACATCATGGAGAGGTTTAATAGTCGCATGCGGTGGATGTGATAGATGGAATTGCCTGGATTCTGTCGAAGCGTATGATCCCAAAACAAATTCATGGAAATACCTTCCAAAATTGAAAACTTCGAGAAGAGGATGTGGTGTAGCTGTAGTAAGAGGTTGTTTATTTTGTTTTTTTTTTGTTTATTCTTATGATTATCAAACTATATTGCGATCATCGAAGTTTCTTTAGATTCTCTTTATGTAATTGGTGGTCATGATGGAACTCAATCACTACAATCAGTCGAGATTCTTGACCATCCTAATGGACAGTGGAGGCCTGGTCCTATTTTAAATATTGCCCGAGCCAACACTCATTGCGTTGTTACAGCAGGCAATATTATTTATGTACTTGGAGGATTTGATGGGGCTCAGTTTTTATCATCAATTGAACTTCTTGCCAATGGTAGTAATTATTTCTAATCTTCCGAATCTCGGAATCACAGAAATTTTTTCCATCATTTTTTTCACTTTTATTCAGTTACTTCCATTTTTTTGGTTAGTTGATTCAAATTAATTCATTTTTTTCTCAAGAAAATGTTGGATGGTGCAACTGGATGCTGGAAGGGAAAAATAAATCTGTGAATGATGCTGTTATTGCGGAGGAAGAAGAAGAAATGGAAATCGATGATGGATATTCGAGAAAACTGGATGACCTATCAGCCATAAATATTGAAGGGATACTCCAATCGACTGCTAAAACTTGCAAATCTATGCAGGCTGCATAGTTGCATATTGCATATTTACTCAGTGATTTTTATATTTCCAGAATCTTTTATATCTTTTTTTTTTGTTTATAACCTGGTTACCTTCTTGACTTTTGAGTGAAATTTTATAAAGCTAAAGCTGGTATGAAAATTTTATGCATTTCAAAAATAAAGAACAAAAAACCTCGATGATGTGTGATCTTCATCGATGTCGTTATCGTTTTCTTCTCGATTTCGGTACGCACCTAATTTTTGTTTCCTTTCCAGTTCTGCTTGGCTGACTCCACTGAGTAGTACAAAATTATTTTAATAAAATTGAAATTTTAATAAATTATTTCACTAGGATATAGATGGTCTCGCAGCCACCCTGGTTTCACTTTAAATGATTGACGTACTCTCACCGAGGCACAGGAAGTGAAGTGTTCCTCAGTTAAATTAAATTATGACCTAAATGCTTGTGTATTCAATATATAGTATTTTCATTACTCAAATTTATAATGCAGTTTCTATTAAAGTTATATCTATATAATAACCTTATTTTGTTATGAACGTAAAATAAAAATTTTGTTGGTGTTGGTATTTTTTATTGTTACACGCTTAGCAATTTCGCTTTCAAATTGTTTCTAGCAATTCCTTCAATTTCTACTGTTGTTTCCGAAATAACTGTCTTCTATATTTTTTTGGCAGTAAACATGGATAATTACATCAATGTGATTGGTTGAATGGATGAGTTGTTCTTTAAGTTCCTTCAAGTATAAGGTAATATCGATCGTAAGATTTGAATATCGTAGAAAAATTGAGAGGTGGAATGTATTCCAAGTTTCCCTGCATCAAACTTGATGCTAAAAGTTGTATTAAAGTTCATATAATTTTAAGCAACATTTTCTTCATCATTTGAAAATCGTTAAACATAATTGGTTCTGGTTCGAACACTGGCCAAGTTCCCTCATTATTCTTGACAACTGGTGTGAGAGTCTTTCTTCAGAGACTCACTTGAGGATAAAAGTGTTTATTCAGGGTTTATTCCATTCAAGAGAAACTGAAAATTGAATTGTGATGTAGTCGAAATAACATCTATCGACCATTCTATTTTTCTTTTGCTGTTATAAGGTTTATATGCCTAAGGCTTCATCTTAGATTTTCATTGTAATAATTTGCCTGTGTAAATTCTTCTTTTTGTTTTTCACTCATCTTTTTAATTTTATACTATTGGTAATTTAATTTGATGTGATTTCATTAATCAAATTCATATGTAATCTTTGAACAGGTTGTGAAGTTGGAAGGGTTTATGCTTAATGTCCGCCTCACATTATGAAGCTGAAATGGAAGCGAATAAGGCTACGTGCTTCCACGACTGCTTTATTTCTTGTTATTTGCATTTTCTTATGCTGGCGAAGTGGTATGCACGATCATCTTTTTGAATTATCTTTTTCGAAATTCAGCTGGCCGCCTTATGCAGATGTTCGTCAGCAGGTATTGTAGAATTCTGCTTTGTTAATTCCTGTCATTATACGTGCTGAACGGAATTGTATTGTAAAATTTTATAAAAAATAAGACGAAAGTATTGGAGGTGATTTTGGAATTGATGGGTGAAAATTCGAGTCGACCGTACGAAAACGATTGGAATAAATATAAAGCGATAGTCGAGCCAAAATGTTCGTCATTGTTCAATTCTTCAAAGAAACTGCGAAATTTTTTGTTGATCGTCGTAAAATCTGCTGTAGCTAATGTGAAAGTTTGTTTTAACTTTTACGAAGGGTTCAGAAGCGATGGATTCCGCTTTTCATTTGTCACTTTAGATTCGGATAACTTGTGAGGGATTTCCAGATGCGATGCCGTGCCTTAAATTAATTGAATCCCCTCCTCTCCTTTAATTCAGAATTTAAACTCTTTTATCGCCTGCACGTTCGAAATCTGCTCGCGTTTTATGCATTCGGTCATTCATATATTTGAGAACCTAATTATCGCTTTGAAAAATTCTAAAATTTTCTAAAATTCTTCACAGTATCCACCAAAAAATCTTGTTTTTTCTCCAGTTGATATGGAATCTAAAAATATATGTCTTATAGAATCGATATGCTATACGCTCAACGTGGGGCTCAGCATCTAATTATTCAAGTTATAGTTTTTATGTGAAAATTGTTTTCATTTTGGGACTCGACCAGTCCACGGGTACTCCTATTCAAGAATCGATAAAACTAGAAGCGAAACATTATGGCGATGTTTTAATTGGAAATTATATTGATGCATATCGTAATAACACTCTTAAAGTATGGTTTTCTTTTTTGAGAATTTATGATTTAAATAACAAAAGGCTACATGGATGTGTGTGGCCTAGGCTGTATAAAAATTCTTTAATAACTGCTTGTGTTTTTTAGTTTTTGTCAGCAATTCAACTCGCTTTTAATTATTGTTCTCATTCTGAAAGTGTCCCATTCTCGTTCTTTGTGGATGATGATTATTATGTTTCTATACCGAATCTTTTAATGGAAATAAAAAAACATCGCGCTCATGATCGAATTTATATGGGATGGCGAATTGATACAACTCCTTTCCGTTTTCGTTTTCATAAACATCGAGTAATTTTTCATCTATTCATGCTTAGGTTTATATGCGTTCCTATGGTGATTTGAATTATTTGTTGCATATCTTTGGTTCCATTCATTTACTAGAGTTAAGGTTACTCTGAATACACCAGCGGATTGCATTCTTATCAGCAAAACTAGAAGTGGTGCATTTTTGCGTGATGTTAATTTTAATTCATTTCTTTGTTTATTTTGTGATATTAATTTTAATTTTGAATATTGAAAATTAGTCAAAATTATCAAAATAAAAAAATTCAGGTATCGTTGGCGGAATATCCATTCGATAGATATCCTCCGTATATATCAGCTGGCGCCATTTTGTTTTCTCGTCAGTCAATACGAGAAATATACTATGCAATCCAACACGTACGCATTTTTAATTTCGATGATATTTATTGCGGAATAATTGCTTATTTCCTTGGCCTACCTGTTACTCACAATATATGGATGTGGTATGGCTATATAAAATTCTTTAGTGAGGATTATTTTAAAAAAATAATATGTGCACATGGATTTAGTCCACGTGAAATGCAATCAACGTATGATAGATGGCAATCTAATGCTGTTCATTAGTTTACATTATGGTTATGATATAATTTTTTTTTGATGTATTTTGATATATTTTTTTGATATATTTTATAACATAACACATTAAATTATTAACTATTCTTTTGCTGCTTATGGTTCTATTCTTTATTTGTTGTCTTCAAGGTAAACTTTTTTTTTCGTTACCAAATTTGATAGACATGCTGATGATGATTGAATATATCGCTGTGGTGAAACAAGATGTCATTAAAATCGTGATTGCTATTGGAGATCCATCTATACTATTATCTTCATGTACCACTATGAGAAATAAGAAAAAATGAACATTTTAAATTGTTTTAAAGATATTTCTAAAAATTTATATTATTTGTATAGTATTTGTATTGTTCAATATCTTAGAATATTCGAATTTTTCGGTCGATGTTTCTATAGAAAAAAGAATAAATATATGTGAACATTTAATAAAAATAATAATTTTTTTAGACTTCTAAAATTGTAATTAAAAACAATAAAAAACAATACCATCAATAAAAATAAAAATATTGATATCATTAATATTGATAAAGTACTGACCAATGATCTTTTGGGTTTTTATCTTATAATCTTTAGATAAGCCCATCGATTTGCAAGTAATCATATTCAAAGAAATTTTTTCTCCTCATTTCTTACTCATGCTATTTTATTTGTATGGATGATATATAATCTAATGAGTTGGGTGTTCTAGGCAAAATCACTTGCCATCTGATAATCATTTTCTGGCTCTGAACAAATAGTATATTGTAAGCGCCTATGTAATGATCTGAAAGACGGCCTCGAACGATCATCTCTGTTCCAACAAGGCATTATTAATTCTTGGAAAAACGAAATTCTACAATATTTTGGCTTTTCGAGATATATCTGAAAGTATCTTCCGCTTTGAAATTAACGCAAATTTGCCAGTAATTATGCTAAATTTAAAAAACCTTTAATTGTCCATGCTCATAGATGTATCGAATATTTTCGATAACTTCATTGTCATCGAGGTAAACAAACGGTTGTTCACTGCAAAGATTTAATATTTCCCACATGGTCACTCCAAATGACCAAACGTCACTTTTGTGGGTAAATTTTCCCTGAAATTTTCAACGTATAGAAGATCTGAGGTTTTAGTGATTAATTATGATATAATTAATTTCAAGAATTTGCAAAATAAATAAAATCGTTGGAAGTTGGAATTTAGAAGACTAAATTAAATATTTTAAAATATGAGCAATTCATTGCCTTCGAGACGAAACGACTGAAGGTTAAATTGGGGTCAGTTATTTTGAAATTATTTGAAATCTTAGCATAAAGGAGTTCAAAGCATAGAATGGAATGATAAATACCAATAAAATGCATTCCCAAGCCATCCAACGTATTGGAAGTAGAAATGATCCTTCATACTTATAATAATCACAATCGTAAAGTTGACGAGCCATACCAAAATCAGCGATTTTCACTGTGCCATCATCTGCGATGAGGCAATTACGTGCAGCTAAATCTCGATGGACGAAATTTTGAGCCTCAAGATAAGACATCCCGGCTGCTATCTGTGTGCATATTGACAGCAGATTATCAACACTAAGAATGAAAAAATTTATTTGGTGTATAAAGATTCTTGTAAAACTTATAATTTCACTGAAATAAGTAAATAATATTGGCTTCACAGGCCGCAAAGTATTGGCTGATAATTTAAGACGGACAGCAGCTTAACGCCTAAAAAGTTATGGCCTTATGCATATTTTCGACTCATTCTTGAGAGCATTTTACGACAGCTTATTAAACGAGCTATCCTCTTGCAGATGTGTCAAATTTTAGGAAATAAAGGACTGAAACATTGACCCAGTTGCATCGCACAATTTTTAAACATTGAAAATAAAATTCACAAATTCATAAAGCATGAAGCGATTTAATAAAAGGAAACTCACCTAACAGTGGCCTGTTTTTGTAAGTACTGACAGAGATCACCTTTTGGCATATATTCTACAATACAACAAAGAGATGCACCTTCTGAACATACACCCACAACTTCTACGACATTTTGATGTTTAAGTCTACTCATTATTCTAATCTCTTTCTCAAAATTAGCTTGAGCTTGTAAATCAGCATTTGGTCGCAAAGTTTTCATCGCTACTAATCGATTTTCCAATTGACAAAGATGGACCTAAAAAGAAATTCATCTAATTTCTTTATTACCTCAAATTAATTACCTATAATCACCAATCGAGGAATCCACGCAAATGGTATGCACTATTTAGAGGAATAAGAAAAAAATTATGAATAAGATCAATGAATACCTCTCCAAATTCACCTTTTCCAAGAAGTTCCTTGATTTTTAGATTATTGCGGTGAATTTCGACGAAATTCGGAAAATCCGGAATGCAGCCATTATCATATTCCATATATTTAGATCGTGAGATCGCTTTTCTGAAATTCAATTATCCTAAGGTATGAGGAATACTTGTGATTTTCCCTTAAAATTCTTTATATTCTATAAACATTCTTTAAAGGCCCATTATACTAAATCCCATGCTCGTTATTCTATTTTAAAACCCCTCAAACATTCCTATTTTTCTTTTTTCTTTATCGCTTATAAAAATCATCAATAAACTGAACTGCAGTCTATAAATAAATTGCTTCGAACTATATTTGAATGGGTTTCCGTCCAAAGGTTATATTAAGGCCTTTTCCATAATAATTTACCTTTCGTTATCATAGCGAAATGTATGGATATTTAGAAAAGTGGGAATTTTAAAAATAACTTAAAATAAGCTTAAAAAATAAAGAAATTTAGAAGTCAGTTTAAGAACATCGAACTACAATCTCTCATCACCATAACTATAGCCATCACTAGAAGTTTAGCATATTTCCTCTTCAGTAAAATTCCGACTATCAGGCTGAGAGAGCTTTTTCTCTACTTTAATAATTCATAGCATTTGCAATTAAGACTGTAAATATGATAATTTATAAAATAAAGCGCTACTTCATGACCAAAATTAGATAGCCTACAAGATTAATTCGTTAGATGTTTGATCTAACGATGGTATGCATTTAAAAATATCACTGGCAGCATAATGCATGGAATGTCTGCTTGCCATTGCATTCGATGATGCATGATTTATTAGAAAAGTTCCATCCGTAAACCTGAAATGTTGTAAGAGATTTTCATATGAAAGAAATTACAAAAAATTGGTAATTGCTCGCAAATTATTCGGCAGGCGATTAGATGATTTGAACTTTTAAAAACAAACAAATACTTCGCTAAATCTGGATCAGCGTATTCACTTCCAGAGTCGCAACAAATTGGCATCTTCTCAAGCAATGAATTTTCAACATTATCCGCGGTCATGCGATATGCACTTGGGGAAACCCGCTAAAATTAAGGACATCAATGAGTCTGAAATTGGATAAACGAACTCGCCCGTAATCCCAGTCGCATGTAACTCTTTAACAGAAGGATTTCATATTAGTATTACAATCAGTTGAACCAGATTAATTGTTCGAAGAAATCCAGTTATATATTGATATGAGGCCAATCTCTTGTTTTCACTATCTGACAGCAGTCATGATTTGGTGTTTCGGCTGATTATATGAGGATCTCTTCGCCAAAAAATTATTCGAGGGTAGAAATTAAGGTTGATAAACGTGGATTTTTCTTATTTTAATGGCAGTTATTCTCGCCAAGGGATGAAAATCAAATCCATGGCTTGGTCTTAATTGAAGCACTCAATTATCCTACCCCTTTGCTAATCAATGGTTTCAAATCAAAAACATTTTTAGTCAAAACAAAACGTTTTGATAAGATCTATTACTCTATGTATTATTCAGATAATGAAAAAATTTCATCTATGGAATATTAAAATTATTTTTAAGATGTTTTTTTAAAATTTGTTTGGTATCTCACCTTAATGGTGCCACCTTGTACAATCATTAACTGTACATCTTTCGTATTTTCATCAAACAAAGACGATTTTAAGGAATTAGAGCGTTGATAATGGCAAGCAATATATGCAAAAATGGACATAATCGATGATAGTACGATGATTGCGATGATAAAAACTGAATTTAGAGGAATTTAGACCAAAATCAGGAGAAGAGCTACAGTTATTTTCTACTTTTCTACTTTTATCATCTATTTTTCTATAATTAACATAGTCAATTGATTATATCTGAAATTACCAGTTATTATTTATTTTAATTATAGGGTAAATCGTTAAAACAACATATACCAGTGGAATACCAACGATCATAGCTCTCAACTGAGTCGCTAATCGAGAAGTGTATCAATGGATCCCTGTTTAGAGGCTCAATAATCTGATTCATTAAATTATTATTAGGTGCAAAATCGAATGGTACATGGCCTAAAATAATTGAATGCCAGCATGAATGTTCGAATTCAGCCTTAAGAAAAATTTCTTCAAGCATCTTTACATAAATCCAACCAGTTTAATCTTAATTTTCACGGTTAATAATTTTCAAAAATTTTATAATAAAATCCATTTATTCATCGATTTTAAGAATACTTAATGCATTGACCTAGCCAATTTTACAAAGTGAATTCATAATATTTAATAATCACTCTACTGGAGTAGCGTTCCACCTGCACTGTTGTAACCAAATAACTCCCTGGTAAAGTTTGCCCGGTTCGACAAGCTAGCGGATTAACCAGAAATGATGGACGCTCTTAAGAAAAGCTACAGAAATCATAATAATCAGCCTGAATTTGCCGAAAAAAAAGAAAGGAAAATCACCGAATTCGAATTTGATTTCACTCAAGAGTAGCCATTTTGCTTCAGCAGCCATCTTCAGAAAAATCTTTATTTTCTTGACTAAGCGGTCAGATATCGGTATTCTCACCCACCTATAATCATGTGAAATTTATTTTATTTAAACAAAAAGAATCAATTCAAATCGAAAATGCAAAAAATACGCTTTCCTAAGGGAAATGAATGCAAGTTGATCCTCGATCGAAGCATGTTATTATTACTCATGTTATTACTCATATTTTATACCTGGCGGATTCAAATATCGAATCACGAGGATAACTATAATGGATGGTGCGAGGAGAATATATATCATTACCAAGCGGAAAGAACCAAATATGAGCCCAATCAAAGACCTAAATTTGCATTAAAATCAATCCGGTTTCCGAATTTTCCAATACTTCATATATAATATTTTATATGAAAAGTATAAAAATATAAAAACAGGAAAATAATTTACTTGTGCTTGATGCTTAAAAAAATTGGATACATGTAAAGAAATCGAAGAAATGTTTCGCTGTTCAGAAAAGCAAAATTCCATTGTAACTGATGAACCTGAAATTTAACAAATATTCTTTACCACTAATACAGCTAAAATACTAATTAAAATTTATTATTCGCCTGTTAATAATTGATACCAGGTTGGAAAAAATTTAAGAGATAAGTAATCAATAGGCATTGTTGGAATAAACAGTAATGGTGACCTTGGATATCTTTTTGCCAGCCGATCCAATTTTCGGGATGTTTTTCGAAATTATCTTCACCAACAACACCATCACAGAGCTTTCCCAAGCCTCCTATCAATACATCGGACGTATTTGCATAACCGTCGTATGAGAAATCTTGCATATTTAAGCCATCAGCGATACTGCCTTGTGGGATTGAGTACCATAAAAGAAAGTCTGGAATATTAACGATCGATTTTAATTTGACTGCTCAGGAAGTAAGGAGGAAATAACTATACCCGATATTGTTTAAATAAATATATGTGAAATGACTATTACCTTTAAATATGCATCCATATAATTCAAGGCGCATACATACGGTACGTTTGCTTTCTGAAATAGGAATAATCCTTATCTTTTTAACAATGATGCCACCATCAAGAATTCGTAATACTGCTGAGCGCGTATCAGTATTTGCTAATATTACCTAAAAAGATCCTCTTTTATTTTATAATTAAATAATTTATAATAATAATAATAGTAATAATAATAATAATAATAATTTTTTGCCACGAATGCTTAATACTACTATTCGCGATCACTTCGCTGTCTTGTTAGACTAGATATATTTTGCCTTAGAGATGCTTAAAGTACAGATGGCAATCGGAATCGGAATCGAAAGACAGGTTTTTGCCTGTCAAAATTAGAACAACAATACTCTGAAATCAGAAAAAAAGCCAGGCACTGAGCCGTTCTACCTCTAATCCACGATCAGTACATAATGATATGTTGTATGTTTTAAGGAAATCATAATTAAAGGATTTCTTTCGTATCAAAATCTTATTTCTTTGCTTTAGTCATAAATTATCCACCGAATTTTTTCTACCCTGGCAATTTACTAGGAAGTCTCATATTTCATTAATTATCATTCCAATTACACATTCTATATATTAGGTTATTATGCCTACCAGAAATCAATTTAGTAATAATTGCCAAGAAATAATGATTTTATCCAAATTCCAACCGCAAAAATAATCAAGAATCAATAGTCTGAATATAAAATTTTGAAAAATGGTCCAGTAAATTTCGGGATAATATTAAAGAACTCTAGGATTGCCACAAAATTTGCTTGAACTGATTTACTACTATTTACTTTAACTCTAACAATTGATTATTTGCGAAGCTTGCAAGGGCTCCGCAATGAATAAAAAAATTTTAAAATAACAATAAAATAAAATAACGTTAATAAAAAAAAATTAAAATTATCAAAATTAAAATTTTTTGATATCTGATATATCTGATATATCAAATATACCATTGAATATATTCTTTGCTAAGAAATTATATAATTATAATTGAAATATATAGAAATAAATTTATCATTTTATTATCATGATAGAAATTATTATTTCGGAGAATTGATAAATAATTTGTTTTATTTAATGTAAAGATTTTATTTTTTTTACTTTAAACAAATAAATGAATAATCTTCTATTTTACTGTATTTAAATGTTCCATTTTAAAAATTCCAAGTTCTCAAGAGAAAAAATCTTTACTGGATAGCAAAGATAGAGGATGATATTGTTGGACAATGCTGCAATGACAAACGCACCATCTTATGTTGTGAGGGAGAAACCAGTGGCCACTTCTTGTATTATTACCAAGAAAACCACATCATCAGCATTCTTATAATTTTCAATTCCATATTTCATTTCATCTCCATATTTTTAAGGAAAATTAAAATAAAAAATTTTGAAAATCGTACGATTAAATCGATCTTAATATTTCTAAGTAAAATTAAGCAAAATTTCTCTACATTTAGAATTGATCCTCAATTTTTTTTTTAATTTTTTTCTTAAATTTTCTTAATTTCTACTATTATTCAGTTCCATTCAAAATCTCATTACATGAAATTATTCATGCCAATCTTATTATTTATTTATTATTTAATATGTTTATCATCTTTTATATTCATTATTTTTATATTATATTTATTATTTATCTATTGCTTATTATGTTTATTATTTGTTATTATTATTTATTTATATTCATTATTTCAGGTCCGAAACGGAATGAAATCTCTCTGTGCACATAAATTTAATTTAATGCTATGCTGATTGGTGTTTCATGATTTGCCATCATCATATCATCATTGTGATTGTGATTGTCATTGAGACTGTCGTCAACATGTGTCTTGATTGAGTTATGCAATGAAAAATTAATATATCGTTGAGAAATTAGAACTAGAATTAATGGAAATGAAATCAATTTGATGTAAACTACTTTCCCAACCATTTTTTGCAGTTCTTTTTGTTGTTTAATGCAATTTTTTCTCATAAAATTCTTTGGTATTTTTAGAAATGAATGCCATTTAAAATCCAAGGTCGAACCAGTTTTTAATTCTCATTCTGAATGTGTTAATTGCTTTGCCCGCTTTTTTTAAAAATTCCCTTAATAAGGATTAAACTTCCTATATATTGCTTTCATAGGTTTTTTTTCGCTAAATGATTTATTATAGAGCCATTTTTTATAAATCAGAAAAGTAAAGATTTCGATGCTTAAGGATTCACCAAAAAAATGCAAAATTATAAGTATACGATGATAGTAAAATATTTATAAAATATTTTATCACCCTTTAATTTCTTTCTAAATTCCTTAAAATTTAGATTTTATTTCAAAAACCAATTTTAAAAAAGTTTTCCAATAATTATAATTTATTATAATTTATATAATTATAACTTATTGTGTAAAATAATCAAAAATTAAAATTATAAATTAAAATTTATAAAAATTAAAATTTAAACTTTGGAAATGCTGAATTGAAAATTCTTCAAATAGTTATTAAGTAAAATTCACCAAAATTTTTAAATTTTTCAAAGTTTAAATTTCACTTTGATTTGACTTTGAAAAAATCGAAAATTAAAAAACTTTCTAATAATTATTGACAATTCATGATTATCATTTTTATAAAATGATAAAATATCATAGAACTCAGCCTCTGATCCCTTGATCAGATGCATGAAGTGATTGTACCAGTTTCTACTTATAAAAAATTGCAAATTTATTTTTATGTTTCAGTTTTTCATGATCTAATTTTTTGAGATCAGTCGAAATTCGCTGATAGAAAACAAACCTCACTATGTTTATTATTCTTATAACGAGCCCAATTATTTAGGTTTTCCCTCCAATATTCGATCATATAAGCAGGTGCATATTCCATGCCACGACCTCCATCAAAACGTCCTTGAGTTTCTACAGCTGAAATTACCATTTCAACGGTGAAATCGATTTGAATCCACTCTTTTGTCTCCATATCAACTTGATTTTGGGGACACCATGCACCACTTCCAGTCTCTTTTCTTATTCTAAAATACGAATCATACCGAAAAACTGAGATAAATCTATTTTCACAATAATGATGCTAGCTGAAAGAGAAATAATAAATACAGCACACCACTTATAAAGAAGAATATAACCGAAGTCTTATTATTTTATAATCGTAAGAAAGAAATAGCAAACATTTCAAATTAATAATTAGGCTCATCGAGTTATTTACTGGTATATCGAAATAAGTCAATAATGCACAGTAGAGTGAAAGCAATTAGTGGAATAGATTTAAATATTTCTTCGTCATATGTTTACAAGGGTCCCATAATAAAGATAATTGCATAAGAGGCATGATGCATTTAAAAAGATATATATTCGAGAATTTAAGACATACTAAAGCAACAATTTAGTAGTTGTCCCATGAAAGATCTAATAAATTAGCGGATATCAAAGACGAACCACTTGAGATAAATAAGAAAGTCATGCAAGATAGATAACAAATAGGAGAAAATAAAAATTAATCGGCAGAATAAATGAAATAAAATAGACTGAGGAAAAATATATCTACAATTCAATCCATAAAATCCGCAAAAATTAAAATCTGATGGTCTTAGACATTTTCTAATGAACCTCGAGTTTTGTGCGCCAGTACTTTCTTCATCGTGGCTTGAACTTGCTGACAACTGACTATTTAATATTCTTCCCGATTCCATTCCTAGTGGCCGATTGCATTCTCCTAAATATATATATATATACATTTTATTTTTCAAAATTTTGCGTAAAATTTCCATTATTTCCCTATCCCTATTTAGCAATTATTGACCATTTGCTATCAAATTTTTTCATTTCTTGATAGATATCTCTTTTTATTTAAGAACTTAGCCAAATAATTTCAATATATTTGGCAAGGTATCATCAATCTCCAGGTGGTAGAATAGCTAAGTGGGTTGACCCCCATTTCAAAAGTAAGGGGATGCAGGCGCTCTATTTCCGGCAGAAATAAATTTATACTTCAAAAATTTGAGCGATACTGGTGATTTAATATTCCCATCGCGAGAAAAAACTGGCAAAATCTGCTTGTTGTAATAATCCAGCAAGGCCAACAAGAAATGGTCTTAGAAAAAAAATATTTGCTATATACTTATATTTCCAGCCAGATTGCTAAAATCTTTGTTGCATTTATGTTTTTATTGCAAAATTTATTTTATTTACAAATTTATTTTATAAAATTTTTTTATTGCAAATATATTTGCAAATTATGGAAAATAACGAAAATTGCAAAAATAATTACCAATATAAAATTAAGAATAATATTCGCTTAAATGCATGAAAATATATAAAAAAATAATATAATTCTTTTTATACGCATAAAAATATTAAAAAAGAATTATTAAAATAATGAAATCTTTTTGAAAAACGTAAAACTAAAAGAAAATGAAAATATTAGAATTAAATGTGGAACGATATGCATTATTTATGAACCAATAAGAATTATATTATTGCGAACGATTAAAGATTTTATATTTTCTTATTTTACTGCAATCGAATTTATTATTGCTTTCGTTTTATTTCGTTTCACCTCTAAAGTCGATTTTTTAAGAAATATTAAACTATTCACCACAATGGAAAGCGGTTGATAAGCCATTGTCACATTGCAAATATTCTAGGAAGCGAAGTAAATTAAACTTTCTTGGTCTTAGGCGAGGTTGCTGTGGATCCATCCGTAATTCCTTCCCCCTTCGCCAGTGACTCATTGGCAAAAGTAACATCATCTTAATAGTTCATTTTAAATCTCTTTGAAAGCAGTGAAACCAGAGATAGTGAATGTATTATAAGAAATTTTCTCGATTATTAAATGAATGGAACTTCCATGGACAGTATAAGAAAAAAATTTATAAAAAATTATTCCAATTGAGCCTTTAATTAAATTAAATTGCGTAAATTTCAATCACTTTTATAAACTTTTGTTTCATTTTTTTCAAAATGCCGAATTTTATAAAATTTATTTTGTACGGAGCAATCGACGAATTTAATGGAAAATTAAAAGGTATCATTGTCGTTATTCGCTGGGAATACAAATGTGCATGCATGGAGGAAATATGTGAATGGCATTGAGATTTTCTTAAATAAATATTAATAATATAATTTAGATTAAATAAACTTTGAAATGTCATAAAATGGGCAAAAGAGGAGTTGATACAAGCTAAAATTTCAATCAAGAAACATGCAATAATACGATACGGTCGATGCCTTTTTAATCATTCATGGCCTAATACTATATAATATTTGCCGTTTAATGCGCATTTTGTTAGCCGTTAAATGTATTTTTATATATAACCCGATTCTCATCTTACACGATTCAAAATTTCGATAGCGTATGATTAAATGATAAATTTTTATTTAATTTAGTCGTTTATTATTATTATTATTAAATTTATTTAATTATTTTTTTAATATTCAGTAATTTCATAAAATGTTTCTCTATTTTGCTTTTATTTTCAAAGAGCGTTCATCATTTTTGGTAAAGCTAATCCCACCGGTTTGGATTCGGATCAGGCAAAAGTTGCCAAATGTCACTTGGCGATAGAAATACAGAGTCGTAAATAGGATTTTCGAAAAGAGACTTGCTCATGGAGTGGAAGAACCCCCGTATTAACGTTCCGAAATGAAAGCAACAACCCACTGAGCCATTCTCTTTTACCTTACAAGATTTAACTACCAGAAATTTCATTAAAATATTAATTTGAATGAAAATTATCAAATAATTTTAATAAATTCATCTTCGAATAAAAGTTATTAATTTATAAATTTCTGCTTGATCATTACGTGAATTATTTCCTTTTAGGAATGGATGACCTTTATATTTGATGACCTTTCAGCAGTTTTTATAAAATTTCTTTGTTGTTCATGCATTCATATATTATTCATAGTATGATTATATTCACTTTCAATAATCAACAAATGTTGAGTGAGATCACAGCAGAAAGGACTGTTAAGCATCTGTTCTTTGAAGCCGTCATCGGAAGAAGACAAGGGAGTTGGAAAGCGATACAATAGTAATGATGCAATTAGAAGAGGGAGTTAATGACTCTTCTATGCCTTTGTATCGCTGTGCTATTAATTATTTCAAATTCTCCTTCGATAAACACGCAACCATTTCTGATTTAGTTGGTTATGCTGATGCTAGCAGTATGGGATCTCACCCTCGTGCTTTCGTCCAGGAACAGGAATTGAACCTGTGACTACCTAAGCCAAAGTAATAAAAACTCGGCTGATCAAATTACATTTATCTTGGCTTCCCTCATTGAAACTATTGAAAAAATTTATATAAGAAAATAAGAATCCTGGAATGCGTGTTAACTCTTTTATACTCAAATAATAATAAAACAGTAGTAATAGAATTAATAAATAATAAATAATTTAATAAAGTATAAAATAAAATTATAACAAAGTCTAGATAGAAAAAATGCGGAATCAAATGAGAAATTCATTTCAAAATGGAAAATTAAAAAAATTTTTAAATATAAAAAACAAATTTTTTTAAGCGTTATTTTTATTTTTTTTTTTAATTTCTTTTAATTTATTACGTTCGCAATAAATTTAATAAATTGAAACTATGATCAGTAAATTGCCACTGTTACTATTATTAATATCACTATTATTATTATTAATGAAAAAATGAATTTAAGGAAGTAAATAATGCTGAAATGCAAGAATTTTGCTATTACAATAATATTATCGCTCCATAAACAATGATTTATGAACCAACTAAGCGACAGTTAAGAAAATTTTATTTGATCTATAATAGTTTTATGAGACAATTAAGGTGTGAAAATAAGGTGCACTTACAATGGCTATACATTTACCAAATATTTTACCAAATATCTTAATAGAATATTTTAAATATAACGAGTTACTTGCAGTCGCTTTTCGGCATCTCAGTGTACTTATTAATCTTTACTTTACTAATATTTCTTCATTGCATTGTACTTACCAATATAGATTTGAATTTCGCTATTTCTCTAATAATAATAATAATGTAATATATAAATTTCAAGCAATTCAATGGAAACCCACCGATTTTCAAGATTTTCAAGAAGAAAAAGCAAAAGAAAGCAAATATCTCTTTTTAATGTTCTTACCTTTTTACAAAATATTCTACTACTTTATTACTATTGTTTGGCTGAATCCATTGATAATCAATGATGAAATCCTTCGGTTATAATAATATAAGTAGTGGTATGGTGAATACTGTTATAAAAAGAAAGCAATAGGTTATCTGGAATGGCACTTAAAATAATCACCCATCCTGTTAAATAATCAGAGTTAACATGAAAAATCACTAAATCAAAATAATCGAATCGAATTTTGTACACTATTTGTGAAATGACAAGTAACAAGTATTCGTGACATTTAACATAACATAATCTTAATTGTTATCTCGGATAAGAAAATGTGTAGAAAGAACAAGGTCATGACCTTTCCTCCTTTCAATGATCCTTTTTTTGCTTACAATCAACTCATTAATCAAATTTCCTTTCCCAATTCACATTAATCATCCATCCATATTTATGATGAAAGTACGATAAGACTGCTATAAAAAAATAATAAGTAACATTGGTTTGACATATGAAATTGGCATTGATCCTTCAATATTTCCGTTCATTCTATCACTGTTCTTCAATGATAATTTTATTCTTTCATTTAGAATATGAAAAATTCCTTATATAGCTAAGGAAAAAACCAAAATTCACTGGAAACATTAAAGAAGAGGATGGTGGGTATATAATAGATGATAGGAACCGTTGTTAGAAAAGAAAAAGACAAGTGATAAATAAACTAAACTATGAGAGGAAAAAAATACGATAGGACGTCCAATAATAAGAAGTTTTACAGGTACTGTATATAACCAACCATAAGACTCGATATTTATATTGCTTTCAGTTTATTCAATTTTGTAAAAATTTTCGAAAAGAATTGAATCAAAAGTTTATTTGCTAAAAAGTTTATTTGCTATAACAAAATATTTAATATTAATAATAATTATGTTGATTTCGAGAAATTTTGCAAAAAGAAATAGACGAAACAAAAGAATGAACAAGAAAATATGTAAAATTCGATTTAATCATGCATATTCCATTTTAAGAAATTATTCATGCAAATAATTTCGTTTTAGTTTTTAATCGAAATTACTTTTCATTTCTCCAAATCTGGCTAGGATCGATCTATTAGCTTATTTGGGCAGAAGTTGTTAGGGAATCACTTGGTGATAGAAGTGGCTCATTTGCAAGTGAGTATCAGATTTTTGACATTCGTGCCGAAAGTAGAACCACAACATTGGTTCCAAAATGAGGTTAACAACACATTGAACCATTCCACTTTATTATTGTACATATACTCTTGAATAAATTATTATGGTTGCTATAAAGGGAATAATTTCAGTTAGCCGCCAACATTATGCAATAGTCACTATATTCTTTAATAATATCTGGAAATCATAATTTTTTCTTGTTTTAACATCTTTTTTTTGCTAGCTGCATACCTATTAAAGTAGGGATCTTTTTGCCAGACTTATTTTGGAATTGAGGCAGAGTCCCCAGCAGCCATCCAAATAAAATTAGAAACATCGATAGCATCATCATTATTACTGTAATAATAAAGTGGTAAATGCCTTGAAGGCTAATCAAATGGAATGGCTTTGTTATTTAAGAAA